CAGCTATACATTTTGCTTATTATATATAATGTGCTATCTTATGCATTGTATTGTGCTAATGTTATGTCAACTTGTTGCAAGTTATTGTTTTAAATAAATCTCATCCATTGTATTGTGCTAATGTTGCTTTTTATTTAATAAATATGGGTTATTATGAACAAATGAACGTTCTATGTTATTTTTGTGATATTGATATGTAATACATGTGTTCCATTTTATAATTCTTTATTTTTATTTATTCAATATAATGTTGGCTTCATGTATTAGTTTCACCTCTAAACTTTGGTACTATAAGTAAAATAATATTTGATATATTTTGCGTTGAGATATGCTAGTTTTTTCACTACATGAAGCAATAAACATAAACATTATTACTATTCTTGAACACATGTTGTTCCTACTTTTTTACAAGGTGATTTAATGGCGAACTACAAGCATCATGGAGAACCATATGTTGCAAATGACCCAAACGTTGAAAATGTGGGTGGTCGTAATATTGATGTGAGTGGAGATGAGTCGGATAGTGACTATTCTGATAATGAGGAGGAACAGGTTTACGAGAAACTAAAAAGCAGAACTTGCCCACAGGTGTTGGTTAATTCATGCAAGAAAATGAATGCCGCACAGAAAAGAGCAGTTAATGAGATTGGCTTTGGAAGTATATTTCATCTAAGTGTGAATAAATTACCAAGGAAATTGGGATATTGGTTACTAGATAATTTTCAACCCAAGACATGTGAGATAAAGCTGCAAAATGGACATAATGTGCACATTGAATCTGAAGATGTGGCCTTGGTCTTAGGGTTTCCAAATGGTGAGTGTGCTATAAAAAAGAAAAAGAAACACGAACAATGCTCATTACTTGAAGAGTGGGGTGGGAAATTCGTAAAAGACAAGAAGAAAATTCTTCCCAATGATGTTTCAGCTGAAATGTTGTCCAATCAGGATGGGGGCTTATGGTTCATTCGACATTTTTTAGTTCTACTCACCTCGTGCTTGATAGAGACATCAGGTACTGGATACATTTTACCTCAAATAATGACCCACTTTAACAATACGAGTGCGGTTCAACATCTCAATTGGTGTGACTATGTGTTGGAGTGCTTGGTTAACCATCACATAACTTGGGCAAAAAACAAGAAAAAGAGTTTCAATGGGCCAATTTTTTTTCTGATGGTATGTCTCTCATCTTACAAGTATGTAATAAACCATTACTGACATTGTCAAATATTACAATTGGCATCTTTTTAACTCTTATTGTAGTTGTATGGTATTTTATAAAATTAAGTTCATACAAAATATATGTATCAAGTTTGTGATTATTGGAGCAGTACTTTTAATGAAACAATAATTGTTAATATATATTTTACGTCATGCAGATGTTCTATGTTGATCGTGTTGTTATTTACAAAAGAGTTGTCCCTAGATGTTTACCATTGGTAAGAGGGTGGACAAATAAATTACTACGCGAAAGGCAAAAGACAGAAATTAGATCTGGCGGATTTGGGGGTGGCTACCCAAGCGCTAGACAGAAATCCACTGAAGGCCTGATCTATGAAAAACTTGAGTTTGCTCAAAAGTCATCAGTTGCATTACAAATGGTGGAAGAAGTACCAAATTCCCCACTTGATGGCAATGCCAATGTAGATACAGCTCAATCATTTATATCTGAATTTTTAAGAAAAAGCAAGATGCTTGCCGTTGCAATGGTTGACATGTTGGGGTTGGTTGAGCAGGCACCTAGTAAACTTAGTGAACACTCTGACTACAAGAAGGTGGTTGACACAACAGAATCATTGTTGGGTTGCAGACCAACTAGAAATACCGTGCATATGGATGCAGAACCATCTTTATCGCAGAACCTAGGCACACAATCAGATGATGCATTCTGGAGCGACCCAGAAACATTAGCCATAATTGAAGAAATAGAGAATGCAATCATGAAAAGAGATGAATTCAATAAATATGGAGATGACATACCAAGTTTCAGCCTCGGCTTGACGCAAGAATTTTCAGATAAGTTCGGTGAGGCTGTTACAAAAAATGATCATCAATCCACATTTATGTCACCACCAGTTATCACAACGAGCATTCAATCCATGAAGAAAACAACAATGGTAAACCAAAATCAGGTACATGTTCTCAAAAAGTTTAAATTATATTATCATTACATAATACATAAAATATAAGCAATACATTTTAACGAATTCGTGGATAGGTATCTGTCGATGTGGGATCTGAACAAGAAAACATTGTAAGTAAGAACCGTCGACCCACTGTCAAAGAGAAGGAGAAAGAAATGTGCAGTACACCTGTTGGTAACCATCGTATGGTAAGTTCGAAAAACTTTAAGTGCTAGTATTTGTTGATATTTGTGCAATATTTGTGACTTGGGTTGTGCATTGTCTTGTTGTTAATCTTTATTGATAGTTGTGCTAGTTAAATGTGCTATCTTTTGTGTGTAAAAATGTGCAGGAAACTGATATCAGTGATAGCGATATCGTGTTGTTCTCAGAACAAGTTTTCCTACCAAATGTGCACTCCTTGGATCAAACACATAAGAGAAAGAGGAATCAGGTTATTATCCTAGAAACTTTTATGCGTATTATTCTAATATTTTTCTAGGCGCATGCAATAAAATTTATAGATTTATAAGGCCGTGCATTCTAAAAATGTGAATCATTCACTTAAGCAGGGTTGCCAGGATAACAAAGAGAAATGGAAACTGATAAGTACTCCACCAACTGGTACTCGTGAGGTTGCCACAGATAATTGCAAAGAAAGAAAGAAAGTAACATTTTTTGATACGTCTAACCAACAAACGTTCAAAGGGAAGGAAATAGAGGTATTGAGATGATTTTTTTATTTGTTATTTCCAATTAGCCTCCAGTCAGGCGCAATTTGACGCTACACGACTATCTTAACCAATTATATAATGTAAAATAATGCTATCAACTATTTATTTCGCTGCTAGTAGTGGATTTTAATACTGCTAAATGACGAGCAAGTCAGCTGTTATGAAAAAAAATTCAAAAGCAGTAAATGATGCTATCTTAATTGCGTATAATGCTACTTTTAACACCACATGGTGCTATCTTGGTCTGTGCATAGTCTTGTAAAGATAAAACAGGTTATTATCCTAAAAAAGTTTATGAGTATTATTCTAATTATTGTCTCGAAGCAAGAAAATAATTTTATAGATTTCTAAGGTCCTGCAGCCTGAACACGAGAATCATTCGCTTGTGCAGGGTTGTCATAATAGCAAAGGGGAATGGAAATTGATATGCAGTCCACCTACCGGTACTAGTGAGCCTGCGACAGATACGGGCAAAGAAAGAAAGAAAGCAACTTTTCTTGATACGTCTAACCAACAAAAATTCAAAGGAAAGGAAAAACAGGTAATTTAGATGATATTTTTTTATTACAAATTTTGAATTTAATGTCCTGGGTAGTATAGAAAAAAAAAGCACTAAATGCATATGTAATTAGCAATATACGCTGCAAAAAAAATAATGTTATTAAGTTCTTCGACCAGTGCTTAATGCTTATTTGAATCATACTAGAAATTTAATTGAAATTGTAAATTTGATCACAGGAAATGTTACCCCCACCCAGCCACTATATGGAGCGCCGAAATAAACAAGATGTAAGAAAAAGCGAGAAACTATTATCACCATACCATACCCGTGTGCTAGCAGCGACATCTAAATTCAACAAAAATGAGAGAGATTTATGCTTCTGGATTTTGGACGACATGGATAAAATGTATACTCCGAAACTTGACATTCTGATTTACACCGTACATATGTGATTAATTATTAACCATTCAACATATCTGATTACAGGGAAGAAGCAGTATTCTCAAGTGGTCACATTGAGTGTTTGAGACGTGAGTTATTATCAATTAGACCATCACTATTTGTGAGCACTACTGTTGTAGATGTCTGGGCAACTATTTTGAATAACCTGGAGTTGTTAAGGTCACATGGCTCGCCACTAAGATTCTTTTTTACAGTCGATACTTGTGTAAGTTTTTATGTTAAGTTTTACTTAAAGTTGATATGTTACAAGTGCAATCATTGAGTAACTATCTATTAAAAAAAAATTATCAAATCTATTGATAGGCTTTCACTATCGTGAACCCAGCAAAGGACTGGAGCATCGGAGTGAGACGTATCATGTTTAATGACTGTATGACAGAACAACTACAAAGAGCAGGCCAGCAAGTTGAGAACATTGACATAGTATGAACTCAACTCATGCTTATCTACTATTGTAATAAAGTAAAAATTTGACATTATATTTGTGAATAAAATGCAGCTTTTTTTTCCGATACACCATGAAGAGCATTGCTACATCATGTGTCTGAATGTGAAGAAATTGAACATTGTGTTGATTGACAACTCAACTTCTACAATGAATGGTGCTATTGAGGTCAAGTACTCTGATATAC